CTTAACGTTGAGTGGCGTGAGTATGTCCTAAAACATCATGTTACGACATTCAAAAGGAATGTGCAGAAGTGTTATTACTCAATTTGGAGTCAAAACTTTGGTTTGCGTGCAATATTGCGTTAACGTGTAATAACTCACTCCTTTAATTGATGGTTCACTAACTGCCACTTTTCTTCTTAACTTCTTTTCGTCTCTCGTACTGGGATCTGCAGAACGACAGACGCTTATGTTGGTAAACTGAAATCGCTGTGAGAGTCACTCCAATAGCGATCAGAAGAAACTGATCTAGGCTTACGATAAACGAGTAAACCAGAACGATTCTCAGCTGCATACTGTTGACAAGAACTATGAGAAGATAGAGACCATACTTCACAGTTGGTCTTATATAGTCTCGATAAGATACTGTAGCCATTTCAAAAACAACATTTTTTGTATTCAAGAATGGTTTTCCATTTCCGATACATAGGGTTTCTTCTGCTTATCAATCTGATTCGACGAGACTATTCCTGGATATATCGTTCATGAACCGGCTGAAGACTTATGGTTAGGGCCGTGCCTTATGCTTCCCTGATGGTATTTGACGCAAAGTTCACTTCAAAGGACTAATTCACGATTAGAATGAGGGTCGGAGAAGGAGTAATTCACCTAGTTGAGGGACCCGCGGACTTCCCTCCTAAGGCCGATGTCATAGTTTGCGAATCGCTGGATCCGAGCGTTGCGCCAGCGAATCGAACGTTGCACCAGCGAATCGAACTTTGCGCCAGCGAGTCGAACGATGTACCAGCGAGTCGAACTAGGTACCAGCGACTCAATAGTGGCGGGACCCAACGTTTAAAGGAAGCCCGCCACTTTCAAACAGCGTCACTGTCACGTGGTCATTCGCTTGTGCAACGCTCGATTCGCTGGCGCAACGCTCGATCGCTCGATTTGCAAACTATGACATCGGCCTAAGGGTGCGGACCGAAGCGCAATTGGCACCGAAGGAGTTGACCTCGGCGACCTATTAGGCTCAATCTTGGCGCGGTGGGCCAGTGCACGCCCACCGATCATCTGATCACTCGCCGCAGGTCTATACGTGGCGAGTGATTAGATAGGTGAGAGAGCGTAGTGTTGAAGAGGGCACAGCGATGAGAGTCGCATCAATGCTCAAATCAACGGGCAAGGAAGGGGTCCCATTTCTCGGGTTCTGGGCCGTTTCTCATGGTTTTTCCTTCTTCAGTGTACCACTCACCATCGCTATAGTTGGGAGAACTACAGGGGGGGGGGGGGCAAAAAAAGAGTCACTCTCACTCACATTCAAAACAGAATTAATTACACTTTGCCAAAACCAAACCGAATGAGCTCAATTGCATATTGAAGAGCACATTCTATTCTATCAAAAAATTACATAGGGGCCTTCTACACCGACGACATCAGAAGATTTTCCCACGGAAACATGTGCACGGTACAAGCTAAACGGGTCGTCGAGAAACCATAG